AATAACAGAAAAATATTAAATTTTCTCCTGATGCAGTTATATTCCGTGGAAACTTATAAAATCTCTGTCCAGTGTAGGTATCTACGAAATCTTTCCTGTTTGAATTGAAGCTTTTAAATTAATTGCATGTATCTATTGTAGATATGTTTCTTGACTAGGATATATAAATTGGTAAGTTGTCCTAATTACCGACAAACCAAACAAAATCAACCATTTATGTTAAGGAAATAATAAAGATCGGGGCATTATTATTGCAAATGCCGTGCATGAATCTCTCTTGAGAGAATCCATAGTTGACAGGGCAATTTCAAGACACCCAAAGTGGGGAGCAAAATCCGCAGGGAACTTGCGACCCCCCGTCGCGTCAGAAATGAGTCCGGACCGGTCCGTCGTTTCGTTATTTGTCCGCCACGGTATATTCAAGAGTGCCTTAATTGACGCGGATGAGTTAAAAACTCCACGGTCCGCGGTCTTATAAAAGTCCTAAAAAGGATAGCCCAATATATTATCGAACTAAAAATTATTATTAAAGCGCGATCAAATTCTTTTGTGCCATTTAGCGGTCAGTAAAAAGTCGCGGACGCGTCAATGTTTTACATGAATAAACACTGGAGTCCGAGCTTTAACGGCCAGCCATAAAGATTTTAATGATTACAGTATTAATGGTAACGTTATTACATGTGAGATTGCGAGTTACCGTTGGACCGGTTTTTGATATATCACTTATATCTATAATAAATTTACTAGCCGACAATAGCCTTATTGAAACTTTTTTTTTTGGTGCCCAGGGCATTATCAAGTTCAAGGAGATTTTAATTTTTGCCAACATTTAAACAATATTCAATAGAACTGGCAATGTCGTCAAGTCTTCTGTCATCATTATTTTGTATATTGTTTCTGGCATGTCAGGAAAGCGTTGGAGTTGATTCTTGAAGTGTACTGCAAGCGATATCCAAATAATCCTATTGGTAACCTATAGTTTGTTTCCCATAAGATTGAAACTGAGGTACACCCCTATCGAAACCCAAAAATCTTTGAACTACTAAAATAATTGCTAAATAGAGATTCCATCTGGAAAACTTAAAAGGGGAATCTCTCAATTCCAGTGTTATCAAGCTTGGAGGGAGTCAAAGATTTGTTCAGGGGAGTCATCAACGGTATGTCCAGAAATTGTTTAAAAAAAAGTACTTATGCTCCAGTTAAGTTCTTGATAGGTAGGTACCTACTAAATAAATATGACATTAAAATCCATAATTTGTGTCATAATCTTTAGAAGCAAAGATGACTGACTAGTAGGTAGTGTAGATACTCAAGCCAAGTAATCCAAAAACTCTTCTCTTCTATGTCACAATCATCTCTAGCTGAGTAGGTAGTCTTCTATTTTAGTTGTGGTGCCAAATCCTTAGTCCCCACGTTGGGCGCCAATTTGAAATTATGTAAGTTTATATTAGTTATATTTTTCTCATCACTTCTTTGGATAGCATGTTCCCAAAACCAGCCGAAAACCAAACCATAGGCGAATAGAACCTTTAAAAAAAATCTCACTGAAAAGTACAGCAGTATGCTGGATTAAAATATTCTTATTTTGGAACTAGAAATGCCAGACCAACAGACTTTTTTCTTGCAGTCCAAATTTTCTTATGGGTCCGGTTTAGTCCAATTGCATTGTAAATAAGTAAATCCAGTTTTAACCTTCATTCCATCAATTGGGTGAATCCACGAAGTTAAGCCCTTGAAATCTACCTACTTGTTGATGTGGATCAAAAAGCCCTCAGCCCCTTTCTTTGAAAGTAATCCGTTTGGCAACGAATCTACTTTTGTTTTGGCTGGTGCCCTTTCCGTCGACCAATATCAGTAGCGGCTTTGAGAAATTTGTGGAGAGACTTCGTGGACTTCCGCATTGCTGTTCGATACGTTTTGGATTTCCTGAAGAGTTATTGTGAGGAAAACTTCGCGGATGTTCCACATGCAGTTGCTATTAGGATTCAGGCCAGAACTACTTTTCCTCTTTGATGATTTCTATCAATTTTCTCTTATTTCAACTTCTCAACATTGCACTACGTTTCAGTTGCGAAAGAATAAATAGGTATTTACCCCAGTAGGTATAATTTTCTGTAGAGCCAGAGTTGGACTAAGTTATTTGATCTCATGTAATAATTCTTATTTGGCACAGATCTCTAGGTACATTATTTGTAATTATTGTCATTATTGTTTTTTTCTAGGCAGGAAATTGAGAGCTTTCATAATGATTAGGTCATAATGCTAAGATAAACTTAGTTACCTACAAAATTTCACATGATTAAACCTCTGTCAACGTGTAATGAATAGCAGAGCTGGGCAAAATACTTTCAAAAAGTATTTAAATACTAAATACTAAATACCTAATAAAGACTGAAAGTATTTAAATACTAAATACTATTTGACTTGAAAAGAAATAAATACTAAATACAAAAAGTATTTAAATACTTATTTAAGTATTTAAATACTTTTTAAGTATTTAAGTACTTTAAAAAGTATTTAAATACTTTAAAAAGTATTTGAATACTTTAAAAGGTATTTAAATACTTTTATTAGGCAAATACCTTATTCAAAAACTTCAAATAGTACATTTCGTCACTAGTGTGAATAGACGGGCAGATGGCCTTTTTCAAACGAGGGCAATGATTTTGGAATGAGTCGTAATTCGTAGCAGAAGGAGCCATCGGCAAAGGCGAGTTTAAAAAAGAAAGGCGTCCATTCGCACGAGTGACGAACGATATTTTTCATAACGAAGTATTGAAGGGCATAGATTCATTCCCACCATTAAACACAAGGTAATTGCCAAGGTCTAGCGAAAACAATAAATTCCTACTAATCAATCTTGTTCATCTGTATATTTTTTGCAGAAGAAAAAGTATTTAAATACTTTCGAAAGTATTTAAATAATTTTGATAGTAGTTAAATACTTGAAAGTATTTAACTACTTTTGAAAGTATTTGAAATACTTCAAAGTATTTAAATACCAAATATTTCAAAAAGTATTTGGATTCATAAATACAAATACCAGTTTTAGAAAAGTATTTAAATACTAGGTATTTAAATACTTTAAAGTATTTAAATACTAAAAAGTATTTAGAATTGCAAATACTGCCCAGCTCTGATGAATAGGTTCTTTTATCAGGTCTTAGATTGGCATTCTTTGCAGATTAATTCTAGTAGTTTTCCAGAGTTGATACGGACTGATCCAATGATTTTTATGGATATTAGGCTACCCTCAACAACTCATATAGATATTATTCAGCACCTTTCACAGCGAAGTTTGTGCCCACAGCTCAGACACAGTTTATACCGTCCCGATACAGTTGTACAACTCTCCATATTTTTTGAGGCCAAATTCTCCAACCAATAGGAGCATTTTGACCCATATCTTGCGCATGCGCTCAATGAGTGAACAAATCTCTCAAATTGAAAAAGCAGTTCGGCATATGCATGTCTCTTTCCAATCCTGCACGCAAAAAAGAGATAGAGATATCTTGGGTGAGAACCCGCGAGAAATAACTGTCAAACGAGACACGCAACAGGATTATATTACAAAAAAAGAAGAGAAGTTTTTTGACTGAAATTATTCAGGAAATTGAAAAGTAACCGGCAAATTCATCAATTTGAACTTCGGCTTTGTTAAGAGTGTTTTGCTTTCCGTGTTATTCGCGATTTTTGTGTACTTGACTGTTTTATGGTTTATATATTGTGTATTATCATGGTTGCTTCCTGTTTTGTCTGTAAAAACAACACTAGAACTAGCCCAGGCTTAGGATATTTTAGTTTCCCGAACGATGAACGACTGTAAGTATTTATATATACATATTTCATATTAGGTTTACTCTATACATTCACATAATCTTTGTTTATTATTATATGATCCCATTATATTCTCAATATTAATCCACAAAAAATCCTAGTCCGACTCTGTACATGGCCCAGGATTCGTTGTTTCCGATCAATAATGCGCAAGCGCGAAATATAGGGACATAGAATTTGGCTTCAAAAAAATCAATGGTTTGTCAACGGAGTTGAACAACTGTATCGGTACGGTATAAACTGTGGCTCAGATAAACCAAATACAGATATAAGGAAGTCAGAAGTAAAACTCGGTTACTGAGTGCTGAGCAAACATGAAAGTTATACAATGATAACTCAGAATTTTTGAATATAAGGCAGCATATCTGATAGTGGTCTTCATATTTTTTCCAATAGAATAGATCGGAACGTAGATTAAATAATTTATATTATATATAGTTATATAAGATGCCGGCTATGAAAGTTTTTAACAGCTTATTGAAAGCTATAAAACTTTACTGAAAACTAAAACTGCTGCATGCATAATAATCGACAACTTACTCCAAATACGGTTGTATAATTTCGCTCGACTTACCCAAAGCCGTAATCATAGATAATAACGTGGGGCAATTTCAAAAATCATGATCTTATAAGTTCGACGTTGTTTTATATAGGTACCGCTATAGCTGCGTAACTGCTCGTAAACACAAATTTACCGTTATATACAAAGTCATATTTTACATACACACATCATCATAATGAACGTTTAATGAGTGGCATATTATATAGATACCGATAGATATCTCACCTCTAATTACATTCAAATACACCTAATTCGATATCGTGGCTATTCAGCTTGGTCAGTCCGAGATACAATCAACGGAAAAATTACGTCATAACAATAATGGCAGCTAAAAGAACTATTTACTCTTCTGTTTGGCGTGTCGGGATGGTGCAAGTCACCACGATATTGTATGGCCACAATAACGCCGATGAAAAGATATCATTGGCAGTCCTATCACCTCTAATCTCGATCTCTCCTACGATTCGGAGGTTAATTCTAGTATTGTACAATTGTTGCCCGTAGGTTAATTGACTTTGCAAGTTCATTGAAGTGGGAAGGCATTCTAAAGCTTTCACAACGGTTTAGATTTATTGCTAAATTATCAAATTTTTTCTTCTAGGATTCCACAGCTGCGTGGTTGTATCTGTTGGAGGTAGTCGAAGTTCACCACCAAGCTTGTGTGGGGAACATGGACACTGCGTTAACCAAGCTGGAATCGGTTATAAGTGCCAATGTCAACCTGGATATACTGGAAAGTACTGCCATGAGAGTAAGTATCACAGCTTAAATCCAAAATTGGAATATTTTAGTTTGTAATGTTTGTGTTTTATTTAATTCTAGACATTAACGACTGCAAAATCAACCCATGCGAAAACGGTGGCACTTGTGTCGACAAAGTAAACTCATTCCAATGTATATGCAATGAAGGCTGGGAAGGAGCTTTATGCAGCATAAGTGAGTACCTATATTGCTTAAACAAATTAAAATTTTAGAAATCGATATTTTTTTCTCAGACACGGACGACTGTTCGCCTACACCCTGCCGGAACAACGGAACCTGCATCGATGGCTTGGCCGATTTCGAATGCGGCTGCAAGAACGGCTGGAAAGGCAAAACTTGCACATTGAGAGACAGCCACTGCGATCATACAACTTGTAAGAACGGTGGCACTTGTCAAGATATGGGAAATAACTTTGTTTGTCGGTGTCCTCCAGGTTGGGAAGGTACCACTTGCCATATATCCAAGCAGACTGCGTGTACTTCGAATCCATGCTTAAATGGAGGTAAGAAGCAAACTTTGAAATGTATTCTTTTGCTTATGACAAATCTCAACTTTCAGGAACCTGTGTCAACACTGGCGACTATTACCAATGCATTTGTCGCGATGGGTTCGAAGGCAACCACTGTCAAGATGACGTCAACGACTGCAGTCCGCAACCGTGCTACAATGGAGGTAAATGTATCGATGGGGTCAACTGGTTCTTGTGCGAATGCGCCAACGGCTTCACCGGACCAGATTGTAGAATAAATGTCAACGATTGTGCTTCGAATCCTTGTGGATATGGAGCTACTTGCATGGATGGTATTGGAGATTATCAATGTATTTGTCCGCCTGGGAGAAGAGGGAGAAATTGCAATAGTAAGTAAATTAATTAAAATCCTTTTCTTATTCAGGGCGATTGCCATTGCTTTTCCTCACCTATACTTTTCGCTTCCTCAATATTATTGGGTAATTTTGTTCCATTCCCTGTTCCATCCTTTTTCTTGACACAAAATTATTGCATGAATAATTTTCAGTGGATGATATAGCCTATCTACCAACTCCAGGAAGTTGCATCTGGAACACTCACACCTTAGAAAACAACGTAACGTGGCAGCACGAGTGCAACACTTGCAAATGCAACAGTGGAATGGTAAAGTGCACCAAAATATGGTGCGGCCTTGGAAACTGCAGAACCACAAATCAGCCTCACAGTACCATGTGCAATCTTAATCAAGTTTGTGTGCCTTCGGGTGCTGAAACTTGTTTGTCGCCTCCATGTCTGCCTTACGGAGAATGTAGAGAGTTGGAAAGTGGTAGAAGAGTTAAACCTCCATTACTACCCAGTCCAAGTTCTTGTTGGCCGAATCAAGCTACATTGAGCAATAGTTGTGCCAGACTGACATTGCTATTGGATAAAGCAAAGCTGCCTCAGGGTACTACTGTGGAAGGGCTTTGTGGTGACCTGAGAGGACTTTTAGCTAACCAACAAGCAATAGAAGGACTTCAAGATAATCTAGTGCTTTTGTGTGATTTGAAGACAGATTATAATGACACTGTTGAAGTGACTTTGGTAAGTTTTTGAAGAGTGCAATCAAAATTTACGTATTTAATCGATGTTATTTTATTACAGTATGGCAACCAGTGGGTCCTAGATGGAATCCGCGTGGTAGGTGAAGCAGTTTCGAGAAAGCAAACTTCCCTGTTAGCCCTAGCTTCAATTGTTGAAGTTAAAGTTGAAACTGCTTTGGTATCTGGCGAACAGCAGAGCAATAAGTTGCTGGTGGCATTAGTTTGCTTTATAATAATTGGACTGGCTACGGCAGTACTTGCTGGTGTGCTTTATTTGAGACAAAGAAGAAGGAATTTGGGTATGAGCGGTATGAATTTGTCACCATCGTCGGAGACTTGCCACAGGAACCATGAAGATGAAAAGTCGAATAATTTACAGAATGAAGAAAATCTAAGAAGGTAAGGATAAGATTTTGGGTATTCATAAAAACGCTTTCTCCTTCTTGCTTCTTCTAAGAATAAAGGTTAGATATTTTCATCGTATTGGTAATCTGCTCTGAACAATTAATTTGGCGCTATGACGCTTGAGTTTTCAATATATTTGATACATATTTCTAACTCAAATTTTTAACAAAATTCTATCTTTTTTTAACTTTATTTCCAGGAAATTATGTGTGTATGTGTATGTTTGTGATGGAGGTGTCAGTTGCATCACGGCCAAGGTTGATCTATTATACCCCTCCTTCTACTGCTAAATTCGGGTTTCCTGCTCAAAGCAGTCCTAGGTCCTTAAGGAACTTTAGGATATCTAGCGGTTCCAGGGCTGGAATGTCTTCCAACTGTATAAGGGCACTTCCCAGGCTCTTCATCCTTCTCCGTCTTCACAGAATCTGCAGGTGCCACCTTCTTCCTACCCCAACTTCTGTAGGTGTTTCTTAAGTCAGCAATGTCCCGAGAGAAGCCCGGTTAGAGTCTTGAAAATTTTCTTGCTAAGGTTGACCAGCAGTTCTGATCTTTTTTGGTTGAATTTGCCTAATAGATCTTTGGCCTGTCGTGGTCCTGGCTGTTCTAGCCATTGTTTGTTCCTTAGCCAGTTCTCTTCTTTTTTGAGGATTTCTTTGAAGTGCGCATTTCCGACGTCGCAAAATGGTTCTGGCCCAGTGAAGGGAGTAGACGCTCCCGTTCTTGCGAGTCTGTCTGCACATTCATTGCCCTGGACACCTATGTATCCAAGCACCCAGAGAATGGTTACTTTATTTTGTTTTCCCAGCTCATTTAGTTTCTGTCGACATTCCCATATACTGTCTTAGAATTGATGACCGGGGATCTCATTTGATAGCTGCTTGGCTGTCAGACATTATTACAATTTCTCGTTTCCGATGACTTCTGTTTAGGTTGAACTGCATCGCATAAAGTTCCGCTTGAAATATGCTTGGTGATTTCCCCATTGGCTCCTAGTATCTGCTCCGTGGCCCGAATACTCCAGCTCCAGTTCTCTCAGCAGTTTTCGAACCGTCTCTGTACCATTTGATGGTGTTTGCTTTAGGGGATTGGATTGATTCCATGTTCCATCTGTTTTTTGTACTTAGTTCGATGGAAAAGTTGTTCTCGAAACTGAATTTATCAACAATCACGTCTTTTGGCAGATCTATGAGGTGTGCACAGTTTGGGAGAGGAAAAGTTCTGACAAGGTGCGTTTCCCTTTGTAAACATATCTTTTCCAATCTTAGACATGATCCACTGGCAACCCGCTTCACTATTATGCGGAGTGGTGTCGTCTAGAATGACTTCTAGTGCCGCGGTTGGGCATGATCTCATTGCTCCTGTTATACAGAGACACGCGAGTCTTTGCACTTTTCCTAGAGTTTTCCTAGCTGTTACTAGCTGGGTTCGGCTATACCAGGCTACCTCTCCATAGGTGATGATAGGTCTCACTACCATGGTGTACATCCATCTTAGGATTGATGGGTTACAACCCCATGTTTTACCCGCAATGTTTTTGCAGACCATGAGTGCCGAAATTGCTTTGTTTTTTGTGTTCTCTACATGTCGATTCCAGAGAGTTTAGAATCTAGGGTTATTCCTAGGAATTTAACTTCTTTTCTCCAATCAAGTCTGCTTCGATTGAGGCGAATGTTTCTCAGGTATGGGAGTTTTGTTCTTTTTGTAAATGTTACCAGTGTGGTTTTTGCTGGGTTTAGATTCAGCCCCACTGTCTGACACCATTCCTTCGTGGTTCGAAGTGCTTTTTCTATAAGGTCGCAGAGTATTCCTTCGTATTTGCCCCTGGCTATGATGACAATATCATCGGTATATCCAAAGCAGGTGAAGCCTTGATCAGTCAGTAAATATAAGAGGTCATCAACCGCTAGACTCCACATCAAAGGTGAGAGTACCCCTCCCTGCGGTCTCCTGCGGACATCCTCTAGTGGTGGTGACCTGTATTAAGCCTGCATAGTTTGTTCACCTACGTTTAGCGTTTCATACATCCAGGTGGGTGTGGTTTTGTCCACTCCTTTTTTGACGAGCGCATTCTTTATTGACTCATGAGAGGTGTTATCATGGGCAACCATTTTTCTCTACTTGTTCTTTCACGGAACAGCTGGAATCGTATGCCTCCATGATTGCTCCGTTAAAGATCTGAAGGGTTTCTTCTACTTCACGTATATTCTTGCAGCTAAAATGATTTTGTTCGAGGTTGCATTGCAGTTTGGTTGTGTATTTTTCCCAGTTCGTATTTCTGGGGTTTCTGTACGAGGTAGTTTGTATCTGCATTCCTTTTACGTCAAACATTATGATTCTGTGCTAAGAGAGAGAGGGTTCATTGGAGACTCTCCAATTCCTGATCATTTGGTCAATATTTGGACTACAAAGTATTATGTCTAACACCTCCTGTCTGACCCTTGTAACAGATGTTGTTATATTCCCTACATGTATATTTAGGTTTATTTGAAAAATAAATTCTAACAGTTGTTCACCTCTTAGATTGTTGTCGGTACTTCCCCAGATAGTGTTGTGGGCGTTGGCGTCACAGCCAATTAGGAGCGGTAGTTTGCTCCTGTTGCAGTACTCGACTAGTCTCTGTACTTCTTCTGGTGGTGCTTGCCCATCTCCAGCGAAGTAACCTCATGCCAGTACTAGGTAGCGGTGTGGTTGGTCGATGATAAGTTTTACCCGAACAGTGACCAAGTTTCGCGACATTGCAGCAGATGCTCCCCTAGCGTGATGTGTGTTCACTTGGGCTATTTTAGTGTAATACGCCATCTTACCTGTTATTATTGTCTCTTCTGGTGTGGTGGAGTGTTAGCCTCCTATTCGCCCAGAAGCATATTTTCTTCCTCGCTGGGAATTTCCTCTACCGGAGTGAGAGTCTTTTCCTTTTCTTCTTTTCTTCCTTCTTCTGCTGAAGAAGTCTCGGGTTTGGACCTTGAGGAGGTGGGCTCCTTTGGGTCCTCGTCTGTTTCATATTTTTCTTTTTTCTCCTTGAGGCCATGTACGGGGATTTTCCCGAACCTGTAGAAGATGCTGTGACTCATCTTCTTGATGGTTTCACAGGATCCATCGTCTATGCCGATGTTTAGTAGCTGGCCGTTACCTTCTTCCTTGCTGCTTAGTATCTTCCACAGCTGGGTGTTAAGCCCCTCATTCTGTGTGTTCACTAAGCTGAGGATTTTTTGGGGGACTTGCCCTTTGCTTCTTGGGAAGAAGACTGTGATAGTGTGAGCTTTTGGGATGTCGTCTCCTAGGCACACCATCAGCTCTTTAAAAAAAAATTCTATACACAAATCTTAGTTTCAAACTACTTCAACTCACATCTCATTCCTATTATATAAACTGTACATAAAAATATAAAATTTGATGATTTTGTTCTAGATACGCAAATCCCTTAAAAGAAGACGTCGGCAGTATGGCCAGCATAAATTCAGCAGGAGCCTGCGGTTTGGACATGCCAAGGGTAAGCGTAGTACGTCCTCTATCCTCCATGTTGCCCACAGAAGGTTCTAGCGAAATGCTAGAAATGATCTCCGAAGTGGAGTGTCCAGGCTCCCGCAAAACCTTGTTGGTTCTTCCAGGAACAAGTGCGTCAGAAAACTCTCTAAAATTGAGCGAGAGCATGACTTTGGACGGGCTGAGTCCTGCGCATAGGAGTAGCCAAATCATGCTCTATAAAGCTCAAAATCCGGACGTGCGGAAAAATACGGCGCCGTTCGACGATTCGTCCGGTCACAAGGATTTTACTAAAAATATTATAAACGTGAATAAGCAGAGGACATTGCAACAGAACACTAATAGTGCCAGTGCGGACGTGCTTACAGTTCTCGTTTAGAGGGCCAGTAAAAAATTAGGTAATTTTTTTTTTCTCGAAGACATAATGGTTGTAATTCTAATCCAATGCATTTTTGAGAGCAGTATAATGTATAATGGTCAAGATCCCATGTATCCAGTGTGTCTGATGAGTTATGAATTTTACAATTTCCTACTTATTGTATTCGAAAGTAGTTTCAACAAGAATCAGAAGTCAGAGAAAATAATTTTAATCGCCAACTATTTTCCGAAAAACTTATCGGACTTCTAATCCTTTGTTGGATCAAATATGGAAACTTGCCCTAAAATTAGGTAATCCAATTTTACTTTGGATATAATAATTATTGAATAGACATTGATGGGGTACATGGGATGTTTGCCTGAAGTTTGTGCAATTTTTAGTTGTAAGAAAGAATTTTTTATGCTACTTAACTGTCATATAAAAGAATGCATTGGCATGATAACGTATAATAGAAACCCCAAATTTTCAAGATTTTGCTTTAGATCTGAAACTACAAAGCATCTTATGCTCTGTATTTGTATATAAATTATTAAGCAAAATACTTGAAACTGTATAATATTATTTTGGAAATGAATATGTATAGGCAAGAAAAATCTCAAAATTTATATGCTGTTTTATAAATAAATAAACTTTGTGGTTTAACTTAAAAACTGACCCTCTCCGGACCGTTATGACGCAACGAAAAAACTATACTTATTTATGAAGAGAATGATCTCGTGATTATGATATAACGAACACCCAGTGACTCGAAAAAAAAGTTTATAGTGTGATATTATTTAATATTTCAAATTTTGTTTTTATATTATTTGTTAAGATTTTTTTTTAGAACCTTTTATTTAAATTAATTATTAATTAGGTCTGTAACACATAGGTATAACTTGTAAATAGGATTTTTGTTTTTTTTTTGTATTTATTGTATCATTGTTCCTGATTTTTATACACTGAACTTTTTTATTGTATTTTTTAGTTTTACGTTTGTTTTAAACATTTTGTGAAGCAGTCCCTGTAGCTTGATAATTTATTTTTATAGTTTGCACTTTTCCTTAGAATTTTAAATTTTTCTAAACATGACATAATAAGTATCCTTGTAAATAGATGTAAATAGATTACAGGGCGTTTTATATTTTAGACACCCTACAGTATTCTGTAACACTGTTTAGTATATTCCTAAATCGAACATGTAAGTGTTTTTAAAAGTAATCTCCTTTCTCCTTCATTTTTTTTTCTATTAGACAATCATTCCATTTTTTTTATATGCAATACAATACTTTTGCACATAACTTTTAGAAACACATTAAAATATTGGTGAAAAAGAGTACTTATGCCTAAAATAATATGTTTTTAACAATAGTGCCTTTTTGTGCCTAAATACACTTTGTAAGACTTTTTTCATTGTCAACGAACACATTTTTTTATTGGAGGTATTAAATAGAACTTAAGGAGCTTTAAGTAACTTGTATATTTTGTAAAAAAAATATTTTGCATAAAATGTTTTGAAGAGATGCTTTGTAATAAAAAAAAAAAGAAATTAGAGCTTTTGTCAATTATAACAATAAACGATTAATAAAATAGTTGTGTTTTTTTCACTCCAATAAGAATTCCATCCTATTTCAATATATATGTACCTAAAGTCCGTCGATTTTGATCTGATACTCCAAAGGAATGTGAGCTGGTGGCTCCCTAAGTTAAAACGCCAATGGTCACCTGACGTCACACCTATTTTCGCCATATGCTTCATCCCCTCGCTCCTCATACGAAAAGAGTCAGATTAAAAACAATAGATAATATGTACCTACATGTTGGCCTTCTGCACTTTTTTCGAGAAAAAAAAATCATATTAACAAGGAACACGGGTCTGATCTTGATCAGTAACAAACCGTACCGATTTGAAAAAAAAAAATGGACACAATGTTGATGGAGAAAGGGAGAAAGTATTAAATCACCCGTCACCTATCAAAAGATGAATGTGGAACCGAAACCCTATCGAAAATCATTAGAAAAAAATAAAAACTCAATTTGAAGCAAATTTTTTCATATTTTCAACTCATAAGGGCCATAATATCACAAATATCAGTAGGTACTTTTGTGCAGCGGTGGATATGGTTGAGAAAAATCATGAAGCGCCCATGTGGCTGTGTGGTGATTTTAACATGCCTTATTGTGAATGGCTAACCGAGGAATACTGCTCAGTTCCAGTCTTTGATGAGAGAGTGAGGGGTCAGCTTGGTGATGTTGTCACCTTGATGGGGGACTCATGTGCTTTTCATAATTTGTTTCAAGTGAATGGTATCTTTAATAACAAGGGTAAAATTTTAGATTTATTCTTGTCCTCTGATAGGACTAGGTATCTTTGAGTGATATGATTCACTGTTTCCAGCTGATGGCTATCATATCTACTAATTTTCCAGATTAAAAACTGTGTTGATCATATACCAACTCTGGTGGTCCTCTAACTGATGTTTTTTATTATGATTATAAGTCGGCTGATTTAGCTCTGTTGAATGATTACATCGGTCAATTAAATTGGGATGAATTGTTGTTATCACACTCTGTGAATGACATGGTAAATATTTTTTACGTTTTTCTGAGAAAATGACTGGGATTGACATAAACAAAGGCCCTGGGCCTGACGGAATTCCTCCTGTATAGTGTTGAAGTCGTGCAGTTTTGTTCTTTCCCGTCCAATGCACATTATTTTTAATAAATCGCTTTCTTCGGGCATATTTCTGGATTTCTGGAAAGTGAGCTACCTTAAACCTATTATCAAGTCAGGAAATAGAGCAGATGTTCGCAATTATAGACCAATATGTAACCTTAGCTGTATCCCAAAACTTTTCGAAAAAATAGTTTCGCACTATTTAAACTCTATATTGGGCTCGTCAATTATCGATGAGCAGTTTGGCTTTGTCAGTGGGAGATCTACTGAGTTGAATTTAGTAACCTTTGTTGACTATCTGTCGGACGTCTTGGATGGGGGTGGAGAGGTTCATGCTGTATACAAAGACTTTTCCATGGCGGTTGACAGGGTCAATCATGGGGTGTTGATTGATAAGTTGAGAGCTGTGGTTGAGAGCAGCTGGTATTCAGGGGACCTTGTTGGAATGGTTGACCAGCTACCTCACGAATAGATACCAGGTAGTCAAAGTGAGTCACACTTCTAAATATATTTCTCGATTTTGATGTGAGAATGTCATTATTCCCGCACGCAAAATCATTAAAGAATGAAGCTCATTCTTCAACGATTTTTGGTGACATCCTCGCACTCATTCGTTCGTCCACTCGCTCCTTCGTCGCTCGTGGCCAAATTCCGAATTCGTGCGGGAATATGTGGCCTTCTGCAACTTGTATTTTAATATACTATTCTAATCCCTGGGGTTTCCGCAGGGATCCCACTTGGGCCCCTTGCTGTTCATAATGTTTATTAATGATATTGCAGATTGTTTTGAATTCGAGAAATTTTTGTGTTTTGCTGATGATTTGAAGTACTACCTTGCAATTTCTTCATTGGATGATTGTCTCAAACTTCAGTCAGACCTGGAAGAGACTAGATACGTGGTGTGATCGGATTGCAATGGAATTGAATATTGTTAAATGTCATTCCATAGGCTTCACTAAAAAACGCAGGAGAACAGAATTTTCCTATAGCATAAAAGGGGCGCCATTGTCCCAGGTCTCGGTCATTCGTGATCTTGGAGTTAGCATGGAATCCACACTATCCTTTGTCAACCACATTGATACCATGGTTTCTAGAGCTCTAAGTATGCTTGGTTTTATCAAGAGAACTGCATCAGACTTTAATAATGTGTCCGCTATTCGACTGCTGTACTGTGCCCTTGTCAGGCCATTATTGGAGGATTCGCAGATTTTGAGCCCGCATTATGCATGTCATATTCATAGACTTGAACAAGTACAGAGGAAGTTTCTGAGATATCTGGCTTACAAATCAGACATTCCACCAATTGATGAATACACCTATGATTTTAATTTACTCCAACTGAGATTTGGATTGCCAGCATTGAAGATTAGGAGGGATCATGCTGACCTTAAACTTTTCTTCAAGGTTATCAACTATGTGGTTGACTGTCCCACTTTGGTTTCGTCTCTGTGCTGCTCGCGGTCCCACCTAGAAACACAAGAGCTCCCTACACATTCCAGCAGGCTTTTAGGCGTACTAATACTGGTTTTAATTCATTCATGCCAAGGGTGGCACGAATGGCTAACTGTCATTCAGATTACTTGGAGTTTTTTGATGTCAGTACCTATTGATAGTTTTGTGAGCCTGTTAAGACATAATGTGATTGACTAAATAGTCTGATTAGTGTTAAGCTTTTAGGGAGGAATGTAAATGGGAATTTTGGGTTTTTGTACTTTGAGTATTTGTGTGAAGCTGCTTCTTACTCTTACTTTTACTTTATTTTATTTTTGTTATTGTTTATATTTTGATTCTTATTTTTATTTATACTTTTATTTTTATTTTTGTTTCTACTTTTATGTTATATAAGATTAAAAGGGGAAAGATGTGGTGGAATTAGGAATGTAGTTCTATTTTGTAACATAAATTTTTTCTTTGTAAAATTGTGGGTAAAGCCCGTTGATAAATAAAATAAATAAATAAATAAATAAGTGCCCCAAAACCGTACCGTACCCTATAAAGCCAATATGTGCCTCATTTGGTATTGTTCTTCACGTTTTCGATATATTCTCCTGTTAGATTATCTTCAAAAGTACTTTTAGTGTATTCATCACAGGATTCGTTTTAGGTAAGGGAATAAAAAATCTTATGGAATTTCTCCTGTTTCATAGATTTTGTTGAGTAGGTACTTTTGGAAGATGAGTCAAGTTGTCATCGTCCAAGACATTTAAGAACTCTATTAGAATGTTGTCAGGTCCTGCTTTTCTGTTTTTGGAAATTTTAATGACATAGTGCATTTCTGATTCAAGAATACACATAAGTATTGGACATCGGATTGTGAACAGGATATACTTAGCTGTTTATTCATCAGTCTGTTTTCTTCTCTCACGTCATCTCGTTCTGCTGCAAATAGATGTTTGATATGTAGTCTTCCAAGTCGTTTTTTTTTTTTTTTTTCATCTTCTGTCAACTGTATGTTTCTTGTGACCACTAGTATTCTTTTCCTTGTGTTTCCAGTTAATTCCTTTAATTTTTTATGTATAGATTGAAATAATCATGTTTATTGTTCAGTTCTTCCATTTCATGACAGTTTTCTCCTATTCATCTTTCTTTGGCTTTTTTTATGTTGTTCTACTTGCTTTTTCAGTTGTGTGTATTTTTGTGAGTCATTATTTTTGGTTTCGTTACTCGTTGTAGCTTTTTTAGTCCCACTTTCACAGTGACGTCCAAGTATATAGTCGTTGAAGAGGTAGCGTTTAGAAAGTGTTAGTGATGAGTTAACTCTCTTTCCTGACAGAACTGTATGAGTCCCTCACCTATCTCATTCTAATCACCCAGTCCAAAGCCCCCAGCAGCATTTTCGACCCTGCCTTTACCAACCTCAGCGTTGAATTTAAGTTCGTGTGGTACTGGTATCTAAAAGAAAAGGTAATTATACAATATACAGGGGATATTACAGTCTCCCACGCTATTTTTTTTTTAACTGAATAATCAAACAGAGTATATAATCAATTAAAAAAAAAACTAAACATTATCTGAATAACGGATTGTTGGATAACGATTTCTTTGTGTTCGCCATAACTGTTGAAATGGCTATTGAATTCCAGATTCTGCATTAAGTTCTGGCGGTTCATGAATTATTTCGTTTTCTTCGAAATTTATTAGACCATGATTTTCCTGGATTAGATGGTGATTTTGTTCGATTTTTAGTTGTTGAACAACTTGTGGAAAATTTAACTGATAATAATTTTGAGGTAGGTCATCCTGCATTATCTGAGGAGTTTCACTTGGAACTGTAAGTCTTTTTGGAAACCAATGTGGATTGTAATTGATCTATATGTCTTTTTAGAGAATAGCCATCAACTAGTTCTATTTGATAGTGTAGTAATTCAAACTTTTTTGTGATGGTTCCAAATTTCCATAATATCTTGTTTGCTTCATAAAATCTAGCTTGGACTCTTTCTGCCACGCTTAAATTTCGAATTTTCTGTGCTTGTTCTTCTGATTTGAAATGCTTATGTGGTCGAATTGCATCAAGCTTGATTCTGATGTTTCTTTTAAAATATAATTCTGCAGGTGATTTTCCACAAGCGAGAGGAGTTGCGCAGTATTTCAATAAAATTTCTTGGATTTTTCTGTTCATAGGAAGGTGATCTTGAGACATGGCTTTAAGTCGATTTTTAATAGCCTGAACATTCCGTTCTGCTAAACCATTCGTAGCACGATTACCTACAGCAATAGATTTTTGGAATATACCATATGGGTTTTACAAAAGAATTTGAATTGTTCACTAACAAAAATTCTTGCATTATCAGAGACTATAACTTGAGGATATCCATGGAACGAAAGTATTTCTCTTAGCAATTCGATAGTTTTTTCTGAATTTGGATTAGCTCTAATAATTTTGATTTCAGCCCATGGAGATTTTGCGTCGACAACAACTAAGAATTGAAAACCTTGAAATGGTCCAGCATAATTGATATGAATATGATCCCAATTTTCTACTGGCAAATCCCAGTGATGCAAAAGAGCCTTGGATGGAGAGTTTCTAATTTCAGCACATGCTTCACATCACATGATTTAACCATGTTTTCGATGTCTTTATCGATATTTTTCCAGTAGCAATATTTTCTTGCTACTAACTGTTTCATCTTCGTAATGCCTATGTGAGTGTGGTGAAGTTCTGAGAGAACAAGATGTTGCAGCGATTTTGGATTAACAATTTTTTGATAATAGGATGTCCTCTTCTAGAGCATAGTCAGTTTCACTTGTATTACTATCTGACTTTTGATCTGATTTA